CTGATTGTTATCACCACCTGACGATATAGGATGCTATGAACCCTTGACAAAGTGTGATACCATGAGATTCTGCTGGCAGAAATGTTTACTTTGGTTGTTTTTCGCTATTTTTAAGCATATGAAATGTGTCAAATGTTCTGTTTAAGTGGTTCATGAATTATTTCATGTGAATATCACGTGACTTCTTGGTTCCTATCAACAGGTAAATGAAATATGGTGGTTTAAGACGATACAGTTACTGCACTGTGCAGAATTTCGACCTTGAAGCGGAAACGTATTGTCGTGGGGTTGTGATGATGTAAGGAGGGAGGCACCATGTTTAAACCAAATTTGCCGTTCTTGGGTATTATTATAATTTCCCGACCTTCATGAGATTTATATCATTTCGCAACCTCTCCCATGAAAGAGATAATATAACAGATGTAAATGGTGAGACTTGTCCTTCTCAATCAGTATCGTATTATACATTACTAGCGCAGGTACTGCCAATATGAGTTTTCACATAAACTTATTTTTCCTGCTTTAAGATTTTCGCCTGTGAGAAGCGCTGTTGTGCTGATATATATATTTGCTTTTATCTGTGACATCCAAAGTGGAGTCATCAAAATACATTGTATGCAGCAGATCTACTTTTTTAGTTGTTAGTCTACACATTCCATTTGAATTATTCATACTGATTCAATTTCATATAATTAGAACGAAAGTCAGTTAAAGTGAAGAAAAAGTGTATGTATAAGTGTGTGGAGACACCTAACTTCTAACATCTCCACTCTAGTCGCTGGTTAGTCAGAAGATACTCAGATGTTCATTAGGAATTAAAGAACATATTTTTCAGTATCAAACTTTCTGTTGGATGAGTGATTTTACAGGTTGATTTAAATCTCGAGATACTTCCTGAATGTTATACAAGACACATCTTATAGATAATAACTTCTTGATTTATTTCTAACGAGAAATAACATTGTTGTTATCCATAATATTTGTCTTGTATTACTACATCAACTTCTAAATGCCTTTGAAGAATGTAAACAAGAGCTAAGTGATGAATGTGGTCGTCTTCAACCCTCGCCAACTTCTAAGACTTTTCTTTCTGTTAAACCTAACTTTAGCAAATGTTATGTTTGAGTGGTACCTAAATTACTTGTTGTGGACCGCCTCCGTGGTGTAGTGGTTAGAGCGTCCGCCCGGAGAGCGGAAAGTCGCGGGTTCGATCCCCGACCGCGTCATACCAAAAAGACGGTACTTGTTGGTCCCTGCCTGGCGCTCGGCATTAATGGGTACAACAAGGACTGGTCGGCTCGGAGTCAGTATAATGTGTCTGAGTGGGGTATTCGTGCTTCACTGCGGCATTGTATCTCAGTGGGCTAGCACTATAAAACCAGCTTAAGTCTTGGCTCGTACAAGCAGCCGCACGTACACATACACACGCATGCACGTCGTCATATGAGCGAAATATTCTCAAGCACGACGTAAAACCCAAAATTCACCTCACCTCACTCATGTCGACTGTCAACAGGTTAATGATCTAGGTCAACCTGGTCTACTGTCAAAGATAGATTGACACATGGAAAGTTCATTATAGTTATTTAAGCAGAAACGACCCTGAAACAGAACTCAGTGTGAAACCAACAAACAGTACAATACATGAACAGTGATTATAGCAATAAGGACGCTGATGGAAATACTAACTTCACTGTAACAATGGTCTAGTATCCAAACAGCATATTCAACGTAGGATTTGATCTCCACACAGATGCTAGTCTTTTTGTAACTTGGGATGTAATGTTAGATGAGAAGCAAGAGTTAGCTCCCCTTACATAGCTTTGAAAAGGCTACCATATCTTTTTATAGTTTTCTCAGCATTAGAGGAGGGTTGTGGTACGTAGCATTGCTCACGTCTAAATATACATTACACCACTGTCTCCAACTGCCACACATCGATGATCATTATGTCTCTTGCCAGACAAACATGTCCGATCTTGTCTCAGTGGCTGCAATCAAGGACCTTCTGACAGAGTGTCCAATATGCACAGAACACTTTGACGAGGAAAGACGAATACCTCGTCGTATGCCATGCTGTCTCCAGTCCATATTTCAGCCCTGTCTGGAAACCTACAGTGGCGTCTCTATGACCATACGCTGCCCCATGTGTCGACACCAACATAACCTGCCTGGTGGAGTGAAATCTCTGCCCAAAGAGACAGTCATCCTGACGACTGTGGACTACCTCAAGATCCAGAATTGTCTTCATCTTCCATGTACAGACTGTCCTGACAAGGAAACAGCTCAAGCCCAGTGTGACAATTGTGGGGTATTTCTCTGTTCTATCTGTCTGAATGCCCACAGGAGGAATGTAACAACAAAGACACATACAATAGTTACCTTTGATGAGATGAAGGGGCGACCTGTACAGAGTTTCTGTCGTCGACATCAGTGTAGTCAACACCAGCAGCCTCTACAGTTCTACTGCCACACCTGTACCAAGGTTGTATGTGTGTCATGCACTGTAGTAGATCACGATAAAGGGAAGGGACATAAAGTTGTGTCTGTGGATGAAGCACACCAAGAACTGTCGCAATCCATAGAAGACGTTTTTGCAAAGATGTATGTGAAGTCAGAGACACTGGACAAAACAGAAGTAGAATTAATGAAGAAGCTGAAGAACATTGAAATGTCCAAGAGGGTTGCCATAGATGATATCAACAAAACCTTTGACAATCTGACCAATGAGCTGAAGCAACGGAGGTCAGTCCTCTTGTCAGATGTTGAAGATAAATCTGCTCAGAATCTTCAACTGACAGAGGAGTCACTGGAATCAACAAGAGTTTTGCAGGCAAGAGTAAAATCTTCTTCTGACTACACAAAACTAATGAGAAGTAAAGCTGATAGGATAGAGGATCTTCAGGTGATGGAGTCTTCAGCTGCCTCTTTGAGAGCCATGTTGGACGAGACGCAACAAGAGGTATCCTTTGTCAGGACTGGTGTGAACTTTGTGGAGGCAAACATACATCATCTTCGTGATAGCATCAAAGCAGCTGGGATGGTCAGGTCAGTCACTTTCTCCCCAACAGACAGGCTGACAATAGCGACAGATTCTGTAACATACAATACCATCGTTCTGGATCCAGCAGAGTTACCAACAGGTATGTAGTATAAAATTAGTTCGTGAGTGAGTGAGTGGTTGGGTGAGTCGGATTGGATGAGTGAGTGGGCTTGGGTTGTTGGTTGGTTGGCTGAGTGAGTGAGTGAGTGGTTTACAGGTTGAGTGGGTGACTGGGTGGGTATTGGTGGTTGGTTGGTTGGTTCAGTGAGTGGTTAGGGTGTGTCGTTAGAGTGGGTGTGTTAGGATGGGTGGGTGTTTTAGTGAGTTGGCACGTGAGTAGGTAGGTATGTCAGTGGCTGGTTGGTTAGGGTGGATATGTGTTTTAGTGAGTGAGTGATCTATCGATGGTGGCATACCACAATGCCACTGAACAGTTACAGCTGCAGTACAGTTTCGTTGCGAGCACTGTAACCAAATTCGTTTAGTTTTCGATCAACATTTATGTTTTCTCATTTGCAAAATGTTTCGGTGAACCAGGTGAACCATAAGAGAGTTATTTAGTCCTACATTGCCTGAACAGAGACTAAGTCAATTTCAATATAGATAATGTATCAGGAAAAAACATGGTGATCGAAATCCGATTCAGCATTGCCGAGGAGCAGTCATCGTAAACGCCTTACGTTTTAGCGCGGGCAACACGTTTATTTCTGGCTCTTGTTTAGAGAGGAAATACTTGCATCCGAAATTGAAAATGATCGATTGGGAAAATTTGAAGAATACACTATGTAAACTCCTTACATTAATATAGCCTTTGGAAATGTTTGACAAACAAGACTCCAGCATCCATGCACCTGATCACCATTTAGTGTTACGGTAATTAACAAGTATACGTCGGTCATTTCTTACTGAAAATTCATCTTTAATAACATAAATAGATTGTAACAGTAACTAATAGCCCACAGTCAGGTCGACCAGAATTTTTTAAAATAACTTTGATTTCCCATTTCGTGCTATAAAGTTTATGCAACCATTCCCACCGACTGAAGTGAGCGAAAGTTTCATAGCTTAGAGGATTGAAGTTATTTGTTGTGTTGCATTGATTTTTTTTTTATACATTTCAGAAATTACAGGGAACAAATTAATGACGTTCAGTGTCACTGGGCTGTGCATACGCTTACTAGATGGAAAACCGAACGCAACTCTGGATGAATACATACTACTTACCATTGATAGCCGAATTATCTTTTGTATCCAGCATAAAATTAATATGGTGCAAACTCCCTGAGGCCTCCTTCACAACAACATGCATAATGTTCTCTTTTGGAAGCCTAATAACACTGAATGTAAGAGATCGTGTCCTACTGCAACGTTTCCCAAACCCTCGCGACTTCTGAGTAGCATGATGCATAAATCAAGTAAATATCAAAATGTGCATAAACGTAACAACAACCGGGTGATAGTGAGTGTGAAATTAACTTACCGCAATGGAGGTCCGATCGATGATCCAGTTCCATTTGTTGTACAATGACATTGTTGCATTGTGCTGAATATACTTCAACTAAGATGGCGGGTGCAGTGTCATGTCAAGTGATGTCATTTCGACATCTTTTCGAGTGAGTGACCGAAAGTAGTATGGGAGTATATGACTCACTGAGTCACAGCATACCAGTCCTTGTTTTGTCCCCTAATTCTGAGAGCCAGACAAGGAGACAACAAGTACCATGTTTTAACGTGCTTGTGGTATGAGACGACCAGGGGATCAATCCGTTATCTTCCGATCTCAGACTCTCTCTCCGCTCTCAGGTCGTTCTCTCCTGCTCCACTGCACCACAAAGGTGATTATAATTGTTTTGCAAAGCCGTCCGTTTCAAAAAAAAGGTATGTGGGGTTGCTTTACCAGTGCCATACCATATACATGATATTGTGGAGACATCACGTGACCTCTGCCTTGTTTCAGTGATGGAGATGGACCGGAAGTTGTCTGAAGGGGAGATAACATGTGAGTAGTTCCGGATGGGGGCATCGTGTCCTTGGTGATGCTTCAATACGTTTTCTGTCACATGTGTCAAGACATCACTCTAGTGTGATATTTATAATAGTAACATGAGACCCAGTTCATTTACCCTGGAGGTAAAGTTCGTCGTTTGGATCCTATCACACGGTTCATTTAAAAGCTATTGTACACCTACATACATTTGTTTTATCTCCATATTTGGCGTTTCTTTTCTAAAATATCAATAAATTCTTGTTCACTGCAATGGAAATACTTTGTATCAATTATGAATGTTATTCTGTACACAGGCCCTATGCTGGAATGGGACCCAGGAACAGCTTGGTGTGATATAAGCGTATCTAGGCGGGTAGTCACCAACACTCCACCAACCACCCCTTCTCCTGATACAGGATGTCGGATACAAGAACTCAGATCAGTACTGGCGTCCAGTCCTCTGATGGTCCGAAACAGCCCCGGTCAACAGTACATCTATCAACTTAACCTTTGGTTCTCTGTCAAAGAAACTATACCAGACAGCTGTATGATACTAGAGACTGCTCTGACCCCCACCCCTGTAGATTCTCCCTACCATCAACACACTGGACTGAGTGTAAGTGTTGTTACATGCCCCGACCACAAGCAGAAGCTGTGTCTCCGGGTTGCCTATAATAACACCCGCCTCAGACACACCCCACTCACCCAGAACAGAGTTGGCCAGTCTTCTGACCTACGACTGTGTTTTGTACTGGATGGAGCTAACAACAAACTGTCAGTTATCAATGCTGCTGATAACACAGTGTACACCACTGTTAAACATGTAGATTTTGACAGACCCATGCGGGTCATGATGCATGTTGGTGATCCCGACTATGCAGATATAACAGGAGAACTGATATCAGGCCACAACGTTACAGGATCCTTCAAAGACTACAATCGGTAGAAAAGTCTTCATCATCAGCATGACACTCTGTATGTACAACACACACGCTAATGAACCCAGGCAGGACGTTGATTGTCTGAAGGTCTCTGGTATATTCCACAAGATCGCAGGATGCAAAAAATGGTAGTACTTACAGTAATGATTAATGTTTTAGCATTAGTGTTAATTAGAAAGTCTGTCGCAAAAGAATAAAACGAAATATGAACTGCGACACATGACACGAATGTCAAACTATGCTCTGTATACGTTAAAATCAGGGGATGTGTTATTTGGATAAGAATTTATCTGAATTAGTGACAAATCTGTTTTTACTGGAATATAACTTTTGCAATCCATTGTAGATTTGCGTTTGTAAATAGCGGACATATTCGTAGTGAATTATTACCTAACTATGAATGGTTAATGTGTATTTGAAGTTTGAAATATTCTTATAGTTACATTTCTAAGGAATGTGATATTTCAACTTATCATATAGCTATATTATCATGTTTATTAATATATAAGACTGAAGTAATGTGTGATGTTTTTCGCTTGGTATCGCAGCACTGAGCGCTTCACCTTTATAATTGCGTTGATGCTTTAAAAACACAGTGTTAGTTGTCACATTTCCCTTACATATTGAATAAAAATATTTTATATGAATTAATTTGGAAATCCAAAGGAATATATGAAACTAAGAGAAACCCTCTATTGTCCCTGTCGTGATTTCTAGAAATGTTATATTTTATCCATGCCTGCGTGTAACCTGTCCAATTAGACATCAGTTACCTGTTGTTCTTGTTCTAGTTGTTCTTGTTCTTGTTAACCTCTGTTTGTTACTACCTACTATACATATATATTCCTCATCACCTCTTCGCTTATAGCTTGATAACGGCGTAAGAAATTTGTTATGTATGTATGTATGTATGTATGTATGTATGTATATGTTTGTATGTATGTATGTATGTATGTATGTGTATGTATGTATGTATGTATGTATGTATGTATGTATGTATGTATGTATGTATGTATGTATGTATGTATGTATTTCTGCTTTGGTATCAACAGTCGTTCACAACCACTATGTCTCCGGTTACAGAGATTTCATAAACGCTGTAATTCTGTGGTACTACAGACTGGAATGCAGTTTACCGGGGAGAAACTATTGCGTTATAGCGCGACCGATGTCTCGATATATCCGGGGATATATCCACAAAAATGGAAGTCGGATAACTGGCACAATGGGTACCCGGTGGGATAAGTAATGTGACTATTAACCTTCTAGCGCCTCACAAGGAGCTTAGGTTATCCGGGGTAATAATAATCAAATTCTGATTACAGCGTCCAGTGAGCAACTAGTCAGCTGGATACTAGGCGCTATATATAGAGAATCTCACCCGAGTGTCTTTTGATATCAAATATATCACGAGGCTTGCCGAGGATATTTTTACTTTTATCAACGAGTGTTGATATATTTGATATCAGAAGACACGAGGGTGAGATTCTATTTATCATCCAAAATCACTCTTCATTAGTTTTCGATGAAAATGTACATCTCTGAACACAGTACTGCCATTAGATTTGCAGTGCAGCGATGTCATAGCATTGTGACGTCATCAAGTTCATGACGTCATAGCATTGTCAGGGCATTGTGCAAAATCTACTGTCAAAACGATATCTCCTAGGAGATATCGTCTGATCTCACACAAGCGATATCTCCTGTGGAACACAGTTTTGGATGATAAAAATGAATTATTGTTATAATTATTATTACCCCTCTGATAAGTGTAAATTGGCACGGCTTCACGGCCCTAAGCTATGGATACACAATGTCATTGAGAAAGTGGTCCAAAGTAACATATGTTATATTTAGGATTCGTGTTCCTGACTCTGAGAGAGCGTGGGTTCGAATCCCCGATGGCACTCAACTCCCAAAAGAACTAGAATCTGAACTTTACTGAGAAAGTGTAGTCCCAAATATAACTTGTGTTCCTCTTTATAACAATAAAATATTTGATATTTTTAAAGCGTCTCTTGATGTTATAACTCGAGTTTGACTCGCAATTTATTGTTTGTTTCAGCACGTCTCACTGGTCAGGTTAGCTGGCACATGCTATTTATATTTATTATATTCAAGGTTCATCAAAAAAAGCATGTTTAGTTAGATAGCAATTAACCATCACTCAACATTTGAACAAAGTATTTTGCTTTTACACAGGCGCCTAAATATGGGCGCATCCCCGTCTGCTTTAGTAAAACTGCATATATAAATATGTTTTACACATCTACAGTGTAGGATGACAGTGATTAATCAATCAACGTATTATCCGTTTGACCAAAGTTTTTGTGCTAGTCACCTGGCCATTTCTCTCTTGTTACACTTCCATTGTTACATGTACATATTACATAACAGTTAATACATTCACCACATCAAACCATATTAGAGCCCAGTCTTAGATTAAAGTTTACATGCAACGCAAAACACAACTGTGCAGATTCTGATACCTTTCCGTATACTGTAAGTAGCAAGTTATCAAAAATGCAAATTCAACTTATAAAGTTGAAAAATAACGTGATGAAATAAACACCGCGAAATCAAACGCGAGTTCAAACGATTCACTAATTTCACCCCAGTTGTGGTGAAAAGTGGTTTTAACAGCTGTGCTGCGCTGCACACATTCGCGCAGCCAATGAAAAACTTCGTTACACGCCCCCCGCTCTGACTGGGTTCGGTATTCCGGGTGCTTCGTTTCCAGTGTAGCAAACCCAAGTACAAAATATTGCACTTTTGATTTGCGATAGTACGCTTATAATGTTGTTTATTTGTTTTTTCATAATCAGCAATGTATATTATATATCATGATTAAATTATAATTGTGTTTTAATTATGTTTATTGTTTTGGTTGCATCTGAGCTTTAAGAGCTGTGCATATGGCGTTTGTCTCCGCTGTGAAAACAGAGATATCGTCTGCTTTCTAAACGATATTGTTCTGTGTTCAATGGCAGGGCCACCATCCTTGGATAAATAAGGATTTGTATGTATTATATTTGTGGTTGCATCTAAGCTTTAACATTTGCACCAGACGTGAGAAGGCAGGGGTGAACAGTTTTCAGTCTTGGTAATCCGAGGACCGTCACCACGAATAAAAATACTCGTAATAAAGTGAATGACGACGAGGACTTATACCATAGGACGTGGCTGACAAGAATGGAGTAGTGCAATAGTGAGAGTCGTCGCTGTTTTGAGTACATCGAGTTATCTTCATTGGTACACAAATTCTATGTACACGTATGATAAACACGGCAAGCACGACATCCAATATGCACGGACGTGAATGTCACTTTTATGCCCCAGGTGATATCGTATGGATGCACAAGTCATAAATATTTGCAATGTAGTTCACAGTATATGCAGTGTCAGGTTATTGTGACACAAAGGTGATGTCTGTGGGTGTTTGTTTACCTCTGTCGTGAAAGTCATAAATGGAAGTCGCAGCTCTAGGTTGAAGGGAGGTAACTCTACTCTGCTAATTCCCAACATGATGGAAATGAGTGAAGCCAACTCTCTCTTCGCAAACATAGACCAGATACTGAGTGCTCATACTTTCATGGCGTATTTACTGTATGACGTCCGTTCATGGTAATTTCACGAAAGACCCTTCCCGCACACCTCCCCCCCCCCCCCCACCACCACAAACACACATCCAAGGTAGCCAGTACTTAATTTCAGAAGAGCAATGTATGGCATTTTATGATCGTTTCGTTTACATTCCTATACTATCACGACAGGGTACACAAGAAATGGGCTTCACACATTGTACCCATGTGGGGAATCGAACCCGGGTCTTTGGGGCGTCGTGGCTTAAGCGTTCGCTTGCCACGTGGAATACCGGGTTCGATTCAGCTTACAAGGGACAATGTATGAAGCCCATTTCTTGTGTTCCCCGCCGTGATTTTGCTGGAATATTGCTAAAAGTGGCATTAAACCATCATAACTCACTTTCTCCTCTAAAAATCGGTTTAAAATATCTCTTTGATTTTACCCGCTTTTCTCCCAGAGAAGTGTAACTTTTGACAAGTAATGAAACAATGGGCTTTCGGAACAAAACTATTGATTATGATAACCAGCATGTAGATGTATATCATAATATAGGGCGTACTGTGTGTAAATGTGGTTGTATTACGTGGACAATATGCTGTTAGTTTAGTGGGGAATAGTGGTATTCTGTGCATCAGTTTAAGCTTGGAGGATATCTTAGCACACCACGTGTTATGTCGGCTTAGGCCACTGACACCCCCAAACACATCGCCACCGACCGTGATGTAGGTGTTGGTGTTGGTGCTCGGTTTGTCGGGTGCTCGGGTCACACGACAGTCCACTTCTATGTCAGCTCCTAGTGATTAGACGGGAGGTCGGGGTCAGCAACAGTTCAGTAGGTAATAGTGTCATTCCATCGACAAGATGATACACTGAGGATGTGCTGTCACACCACTGGGTCAAGAACATGTGAGTTGACTTCAGTGACACCTACGACCACATCACTGTCGGCGATGACGTAGACACTGGTGCTGAGTCTGGGTCTGTTGCTGCCTCTAGGTCACTCCAAGACAGTCCACATCTATGTCAGCCCCAAGGGATCAGACGGGGACTCAGGATCAGTTCAGTAGGTAATGGTGACATTATGCACACCGGAGTATACACTGAGGATGTGCTGTCACACCACAAGGTCAAGGACACGTCTGTTGACGCCAGTGACACCTACGACTACATTGCTATGGGCCCGAATGGTTTAAAGTACATTTCATGATATCAGCATTTATTCTATAAACCGTGCCTGTCCAGGGTGCCGTTCCACTAACCGATCTTAGCCCCACGCCAATCGTAAACCTCTAAAATCCCAATCTTAGCGTGACGTTACGATCGGCATACCGTTCCACTAACCAATCTTACCTAAGTCGATCAATCATAAAGTTAAGATTCAAAGTCTAAGTTGCTCATGACCAACTTAGGATAGCTAAAATCAATCGTAGAGAAACCAAAATGGTGGCTTTCCTAGTCTATGTGAAAAATAAGAGCGAGCATTTCACCGTGAGCGTCCCCTAAAATCCCCCATGAAATGAATTTGTATATTTCTGTGATGTAAACATACACTGCACTGAAGCCTTACAAATGTCAGGCCAGTCTGACCACTGTCGTCATGGGAACACAACCGAGCTAGTCGGTGTAACACATTTGTATTGTGCAACAATATTGCAACGTCATGGTTAAGA